ATGTTCAGGTGAAGCTAGCCCCTTGTTTTCCAATATATATATATATATATATATATATATATATATATATATATATAATTATTTTTTGGGGAGATAAGAACTCTTTAAAGATAGTGCTTTTTTTGGCGGTCAGTCTGTTATCCTCCTTAGTGTTCAAGTAGACAAAACTTCAGTGCAGATGAGGAATTATGTTGTTGGTGTCTCATATTCAATAAAACACAAAGGAAACCGCCAATAGTGTAAGCCGGTATATACAATGTCTTCGGTAAAATTAAGATAAAAAACACTCACAAGGAGAGAGCTTCCAATCAGCTCTCAGGGCTCTGAGCGGTACAATTCCTGCTCAAGGATAAATTTGGAGCTGTCCTCTTTTGATGTTCACAATGTAAACGGCATAGGAAAGGAATAAAACGAGATAAAGTGCTCACTTGTTTAAACAATAGTACTTTTAAAAAATATATATAAAATCTACTCACAATTTTAAGAGCACCTTTTGCGCAATATCAGCTTAGGTGGTATGATCCCCACCAAGGATATATGTAGGTAGATGTGGAGGGTCCTTTAGATTAATAAAATAAAATGCAGGATAAAAAATACATAAAAAAGAAACACAATTTTGAGGGTAAAAACAATGTTTACTGTAATATACCACACAAAATAAAAACAGATTTGAAAAAAGTCCTATATAATTACAACGCGTCTCACCCATAGGCTTTTTCAACTGATTTTTTTTTTTTAAGCAAAAGGTGCTCTTGAAATTGTGAGTAGATTTTATATATATTTTTAAAAGTACTATTGTTTAAAACAGTGAGCACTATATCTCTTATTTCCTTTCATATGCAGTTTCTAAATCCCTGTCTCCATCCCAGCTAGCAGCACCCACAGTCCCTGTCTTCCTCCCAGCTCGCTGTATTCTGAGTCCCTGTCACCCTCCCAGCTAGCAACACTAGACATGTGCAATTCATTTCGGTACAAATTTAAATTGGATGAATGTGAGCAATTCGGACATTCTTCGGATTTCTGACAAGTGGCAAAACAGGAGAGGGAGGGAAAATTAAGGGAATGATGACAGGAATCTAACCCTACTCCTAACCCTACCCCAACCTTCCTCTAAACCTAACCTTACCCCTAACCCTAGTAGGTGTAGGGTTAAAGTTATGGGTAGGGTTAAGGGTAGGAGTCGGGTTAGGTAATTGCAGAAGCCCCGAAGTACAGAATTTCGGAAATGCCGAACCGTAGTGCCGAAGTCCCGAATTTTGGAAGTGCCGAACCGAAGTGCTGGATTGCCGAAGTTCCAAATTTCGGAAGTGCTGAACTGAACCGAATTTTTTGCCCATGCACATCTCTAAGCAACAATCAGTTCTTTTGTCTACCCCAGGTAGCAGCACTTCCAGTTCCAGTCTCCCTTGCAGATACCAGCTCCATCACCCTCAAACCTGGCAGCCCTCCTAGGTCGCTATCTCTCTCTCTGTCTCCCTCCAAGTAGCTGTCTCCCTCTCATTTTGCATCGCTTCTGGATCCGTTTTCCTCCCAGTTAGCAACACAACTAGGCCTTAATCTCCTCAGCTCTCAGCATTCCTTATACCATTTCCCTCTAAGATTGCAGCACAACCAGACAACAAGACCTTTACACCATAACTGCAATGGGCTGTAGTGGTTATGGTGCTTAGAGTGCCCTTTTAGCTCTATGTCCTCAGGGATATTACAATGACCTGAAGATTTGTTTAGAAAAAAAAGTTATCTACAATTAGAGATTCGTACCAGAACTACTCAAAGTTTGGAAGTAATAAATAACATACATCCATTATAATATAAAGCCCTGCTTTGAAATCCGTGAAATGTTTATGCTTACGCTGTCCTAAACAAAAAGATTTATAAGTATACTTTCCACCTTAAAACAGTTTGGGTGTTAGCTGGCATACTACTGAGAAACACATGAAATTCTTGGTAACTATGTTGTAAGCTGGGTCTGGTGCAGAGTACAATGAATTCTATGGCAGCTGAGCAGAGTGAGATATTGCTCAATGACTTATCATTCGAAAACACAGTATTAAAGGCATCTGTCAACAGTAAAAAAGGAGATGATTATATGTGGTATAGCAGGTTTACTCCAATGAGTGGCAGTCATGTCACACTGTCGGGAATTGACAAAGTGGGGGCCCTTTTAACCCCTTCACTACCATTACGTTTTGTTCGAAAACATTAGTAGAACATTTATTTCAGTGGTGGAACTAATGCAATTAGAGGCCTGGTGCAAGAAGTTTTTTGGCCCCTCTCTAGCGTAAGAGTGGCTAAAAGGTAGACCTACATCTATCATACAACACCCATAATGCAAGAGTATTTATTGTTTTCCCATTTTTGCATGGTTGCATTTGTGAGCGTTGTTTGTGCCTTTGAATGTAATTCTGTTTTTGTATGGCGTATTTGTGAGTGCTTGGTGTATTTTTTATGTAACATTGCGACTGGAATTCTATGTGATATTAGATATTGAATGCAGGCATGCATTTGTAGGTAGTTTTAGCGTTTAATAATTTAATGTAATTTTGTGTGTAGTGTTGGTGTTTGAATGAAGCATGTGTGTAGATAATGTTGTCATTTTTATAGAGTGGTGTGTTTGTAATGTTTGTGTTAAAATGCATTGGTGTGTTTGCATGTATTGGTGGCTTATAAATGCAACCGCACAGCGCACCGCACACTTTACTTAGGGCCACCAAATGTGTACTGATGGCACTGTGGCACATTAATAGCACGACCTGGCCCCTGTATTATCAGCTGTCAGCAATGAAGTGACAGACACTGAGAGAGTACATTATTCTAAGGGAGGAGGCACAGTACAGGCAGCAGCATGGGGAGAAAGACACCTCCCTGGACTGACAAGGAAGGGGGGACATGACTGCGGCTAGGTTAAGGAGTCTTGAAGGAGTAGTGGAAGGGAGGGGTATAGATGGATACATAGTTGCTAAGATGGAAGACAGTTATAAGCACAGTTAGGGGAGGGGACTTACCAGTCAGCTTTTGGAAGTGCAGGGATCCTGACTTTCATCTGTCCTTCATCTGTCCTTCTGTCCGATTATTATTCGTGTTTTAACTTACCTGTTTTTCCTGATTGTCTGATGGAAGTTTCCCAGGAATCATTGGTGGCCCTGTTGCAGGATTACCGGGCTGCACATGGTGCAGGCTCGTTGGCAGCGGTATTGGCCGGCGTGGACGGTGTCCCGGGTGAAGAGGAAAGGCCAGTGGATGAGGGGCGGAGGGCCAGGCGTTCAAGGCCGCCATCGCGACTGTCTCCCAGCCGGTGAGAGGAGAGCGAGAAGGCCGCAGGCGCATGCGGACTGGTGTGGCTGGTGATGTGGAGCCGAGCCTTGGGTCGTCCCCCTGAGCGGTCCGGTCCCAGGTGAGGGTTGAGGTGGCCTCCGGCAGCCATTCCCAAGATGGCGGGAAGGTCGAGGAGCCTGCCGCCTTCTCTTCCGGCGCGGCCGGAAGTGACGTCACGACGCCGGTTGCGCATGGCCGGCGCGCCGGATGTGACCTCATCTGCTGGCGACGGGCAAAACCCGGAAGTGGGTGCCCGCGATGGAAATAGGAGGCCGGGCGCCAGGAGATGGCAGGCGCCGGCTGAAGAGACCGGAAATAGGGGTGCTGTGACCCGGACAGCAGCCCCACGGAGATGGGAGTCCCCAGGACCAGGCTGTTCAAGGGGTGCTGCGGATCAGGTGGCAGCCCCAAGGTTGCAGGGCTGCCAGGATGCCGGCGGTCGGGAGGCCGTGTCGGTTGCAGCCCCCCTGGGAGCTGGGAGGCTCCAGGGTGATTCCGGAGAGGAGGAGGAGTCCGAGGAGGAGCGTGAAGCTGATGGAGAACGGCCCCTGCGCCTCCCCTCATTTGGTGAGTTGGCATGCGCTGGCGCTTGGGGTTCGGCAGGGGGATCAGGTCAGGATAGTGAGGTGTTGCGCCTGCTGAGGCTTTTAGTGGAGGGTCAAGCCAGGGGCAGTGGTCTAGGGGTTCAGGGTTCGGGTAGTACGGATAGTTTGAGGGGGCAGGGGATGGGGGTTGGTTCCTTTCTCCCGGGGTGCGAACTGGCCCCTTTAGGTTTGCACGTGCCTGCTGAGGTGCAGGAGAAGATTATTCGGGGTGAGTATGTGGATCTCCTTTCTCTGGTTCCGCCGGACAAGGAGTCCGTGGACAGACCGCGCCGTGGTGAACAACTGGACGGAGAGAAGGGTAAGGCTATCCCGCGTACGTTCGGTAATTGGCTGCAGGGATTTAATATCTTTGCTAGCGTGCTAGTGCGTCGGTTCACAGAGAGGGCCCCCTCGTTATTTGGGTATTTGGATTTAATTTGGGCCGCTTACAAGGTTTATGGGGGACAGTGCTGGTTCAAATACGACCAGCAATTCCAAAAGAAAATATGTAGGTCGAGCTATATGGTAGTGGAAATAAAAGTAAATATAAAATTGGATATGACAAATATATAAATAAAACAGGGAAAAATTATCCCAATAGTAAAAAAGTCTTTAATAGAACCTGTGATAATACTTGAGTCTGGAAAAAGTCCAAAAGTCCAAAGATTAGCTGAATCTTCTTGTATTAGCGGTATCTCAGTTTGATGGTAGGTATATGAACATGTAAAGAAAACAGAAAGACTCCAATAGTGCAGATGGTAATACAGCAAATGAGTAGATAAACAAATCTCATAGCAGGTAATCCACTCACCTATTTCTGAGCATAAACTTGCTCAAGTGATAGTAGCATTCAGTGGCGTTGATCCTCCACTGGTAGGATATGGTGGCGAAAATATAAAAAACTCCTCGGTATGTGGAGAGATGAAGAAACAATATAGTGCTCACTGAATGAGTGAAAAGGATAAAATAATAAGAGCAGTAAAATACTCACATGGGTATGAGCAGGATATACTGCTCACTTTGGTAGCGTAGGTGGTATTATCCCCACCTAGGATTCTTGAGCATATGTCGTTCCAATATAGCAGGTACCAGGTTTCAGAAAATAAAAAATGGTATTATATAATAAAAAGATATATAAAAATCTCAATATAACTTTATTAATAATAACAGAATCAATAAAATATAAATACAGCCAAAACACGTTTCGCCTCACAGGGCTTTTTCAATTGGCAATAACGACCAGCAATTCCGCCAGAAGATGGCGGCATGTCCGGGTATGGGCTTCGGGGTGCAGGACGGCAGCCTGTGGCTGCTACTGATGACCCCGTGTAGACCCTCCCCCTTTTCGGGGGCTGCCGGCGTCCCCACGGGGACGTCGGCAGGTCAGCGGAAGGGAGTTTGTTGGCTCTTTAACGAGAGCCACTGTAAGTGGTTTAGCTCTTGTAGATTCCGGCACGAGTGTGCCCATTGTGGGGGAGCCCACCCGGCTCTCCGTTGTTTCAAGAAGGGCAGACCGTCTGCCGCCAAGGGCTCTGATAGGGACGACTTCCTCGCAGCGAGGACGCCGGTGAGCATGGAAAAGATGCGTCCCTGGTTAAGCAAGTATCCTAAGAGGGACGTCGCAAGCCTTTTGTTCGACGGTTTTACAATGGGTTTCTGGATTCCCTTTGTGCTGTCGGACGAGGGCCGGTTTGCTGGGAATCTTCGGTCCACGCGGGGTAGGGAGGGTTTATTGCAGGAAAAGCTGGAGGCGGAGATAAAGCTGGGGCTTTATTGGCAAAATCGGATATTGAATCGGCCTTTCGTTTGTTGCCTGTTCATCCGGATTGTTTTCACTTGTTGGGGTGTTTCGCGAACGGTTGCTTCTATTACGATATGTGCATGCCCATGGGTTGCGCTATATCTTGTTCTTATTTCGAACAGTTTTCTTCCTTTTTGGAGTGGGTTACGTCTAGAGTTTCGGGTTTGGGGTCCTTGACCCATTACTTGGACGATTTTTTGTTTGTCGGTCCGTCGGGTTCCCAGGATTGTATGGCGTTGCTTCGGGCCTTCCGGCGGGTAGCGTCGGAGTTCGGGGTTCCTGTTTCCGAACAAAAAATGGTCGGCCCGGTGTTGGTTCTTTCGTTCTTGGGTATCAAAATCGATACCGAGAGCATGGTCTTCCGGCTTCCTGAGGAGAAGTTGGAGGGGTTGCTTCGGCTAGTGGATTTGGTCAAAGGTTCCAAGAAGGTTCAGTTGCGACAGATGCAGGACCTTTTGGGGCACTTGGTTTTCACATGTCGGGTGTTACCGATGGGTCGGCATTTTGTCGCAGATTGTCCTTGTCCACGGTGGGGGTGAGGGAACCCTTCCATTACATTCGGATCACGAGGCGCCTCCGGTCGGATCTGATGGTGTGGAGCTCCTTCCTACGTAGTTATAACGGGCATTCTTGTTGGTTGAGGGAGGCCACCTCCAATGCCGCGTTGGATCTCTTTACCGATGCCTCGGGGTCCGTTGGTTTTGGAGCGTATTTTCGGGGTCAGTGGTGCGCGGGGGAGTGGCCGGAGGATTGGCGGTCTTCCTTATTGAGGAGAAATTTGACCTTTTTGGAACGGTTTCCGATAGTGGTCGCGCTGGAGCTGTGGGGCGAGGATCTGAGAAATCACACGGTGGTCTTTCACACGGACAACATGAGTGTGGTTCATGTGATTACCCGTTCGTCCTCCTCGTCTCCACCAGTTTTGGCTCTTCTCCGTCACCTCGTGCTCCTTAGTCTTAAGTTTAATGTTTGGGTGCGGGCGCAGCATGTCCCGGGTGTTCAGAACGTGGTGGCTGATGCATTGTCTCGCTTGCAGTGGGAGCGGTTTCGCGAGGCAGAGCCAGAGGCGCAGCGGACCGGTCTGCGGTGTCCAGACTCCTTATGGAAGCTCGATTTCGAGGTCTGATGGGCTTGGTATCGGATTCCTTGGCGGAGTCTTCCTGGAGGGCATACCGGGCAGTGTGGAGGCAGTAGCTGTCATCAGCATGTGACGGGGATGTATCCACGGAATCAGGTCGTGCGGAGAGGACGCTCGTGTTGCTGGATGATTTGGTCAGGAGAAGGCGTTGGCTGCAGCGGAGAAGGCGTTGGCTGCCCTGTCGTTCCTGTTTCGCTTTATGGGCTGGCAGGATGTTACTAAGGAATATGGGATTCAGAGGGTGGTCATGGGTTGGCGGCTGCGGCGTCGCCCGGATGGTCGTCGCCCAATTTCGGTTGAAATGTTGCGGCGGATTATTTTAGTACTACCGACGGTCTGTGGTTCCGAGTACGTATCGAAGTTGTTTGGCGTGGCCTTCTCGGTCAGCTTTTTTGGTGCCTTTCGCATCGGCGAGTTGGTAGCCCCGAGCAAGGGGAAGGCCTCGCCGTTGGCATTGTCGGATGTGCGGTGGTCTACTTCCACCGTCGACATTTTTGTGCGGCGATCTAAGACGGATCAGGTGGCCCGGGGGGCCTGGGTTCGTTTGGGAGCCACGAGGGACGAAGTTTGTCCGGTTGGGGCCTTCCACGCTTTTCTGGAGGTGCGCCCGGAGCGGGGAGGCCCTTTGTTAGCTCACGTGGACTGGTCTCCTCTAACCCGGTATCAGTTCTCGGCGATGCTGAAGAGAGCATTGGTTGCGAGTGGCATGGATGGTCACGGGTTTTCGGCCCATTCCTTTCGGATCGGGGCGGCTACCCAGGCGAGTGTATTGGGGTACTCGGCTGCGGGAATTCAACGGATTGGAAGATGGGGGTCGGGGCGTTTTAAGTCTTATGTCCGACCTCATATGCTGTAACCCTCTTCTCGTTGTAGGTGGTCGGCCCCGGTACGTGTGGATTATAGGGCATTCCTATGTGTACTGGGCAGCTAGGCGAGCTGAAGGCCGGGCCTATGGACGGAATTTGGGGTTTTTGTTGGACGTGGCCAGAGTCAGGTGGAAGGGCATCAGGGGCCTCCGGTGGCAGCAAATTTATCCAGAGTTGTCGGTGGTCCACGCGGGCGGTAACGATTTAGGGGTATCCAGGACTGTGGACCTTCTCCACGCGATTCGGCACGACTTGGCGAGGTGCATGGCGCTCTTTCCAGACATGACCTTGGTTTGGTCGGAGGTGGTTTCCAGGCCGTGCTGGTGCGCGCTTCCGCACTTTCGCGGTTTGGAGAAGAGCCGGCGCAAGCTGAACATCGCAGTGGGGAAATTTGTACGGCGGCTAGGAGGGGTGGTCATCCGACACGTGGAGCTGGAAGGAGAGAACCAGGACTTGATGAGAAAGGATGGGGTCCACTTAAATGAAATAGGGTTAGACATCCTGAACACGGGTCTGCAGGGTGGGATTGAGGCTGCGCTGTCGGCGGGGGCGCGATGACGGCAGGAGGCGTGAAGGGAAGTCGTCATCGCGGTGGCGGGAGTCCTGGCCAGCGCAAGCAGAAGTGGTGAAGTTGCCGAGGAGACTTGGGGAGTCGCAGCCTGTTGGGAGCTGATGGCGGAGGCAGGCTGCTCAGGACTCATGGTTTGTGGGGATAGACCTGTCTGTTGGGCAATCACCCCAACAGCTGACAGTATGATTATGTTGCTGGCATGGAAAGAATAAATAAAGCTGTGGCCGATGCCCTTACCCAACTGAATTACGGTCTCTGTGTGTCATTGGGGAAAGGGGGGCAGCAGGTGGGTGGTTCAGACATCTTGACAGCAGTCAAGACGGACGTCGTGAGCTGCTGCTGCAGGGCCCACACACATCAGCCTTAGCTAGTAGCACCCCAAGCAAGTCACCCTCTGATAGACAAAAGGTATGATAACAGGAGGGTGGCTACAAATATAAAAATTATGACATTTATCTGTATGTCAGTGTGTGTATATGTCATTGTGTACATGTTAGTGTGTGTATCTGTGCATTTGTGTGTACATGTGTCAAGCTGCGTGTATGTGCCATTGTGTGTCAGTGTTTGTATGTGCCAGTATCTGTATGTTCCAGTGTGCGTATCTGTGTGTATCTCAGTGTGTGTGTGTGTGTGTATGTGTTGCTCTTGATCAGGTCAGGTAGGAGACGATTGCCAGAGTTACCTAAAGTGGCTTTATTTGCAGGTTGTGACATATCAGCAGTATAATGTATAGAATGAAATAATAAGGGGAAGGAATGGGAGAAATAAACATTAATGCAATATGCCCTATGTAGATAATAAACAGGGTTGCAAATAATAAGACAGCTAGAGATTAAAGGATAGAATAGTGAGGCAGGTATAAGGAACAATAACGTTTCAGGTTATGTTATGGAGCAGGGTTGGAAGTAAATCAGGTTGGCAGGATAATGAAGGGTTGGAAGTAATCCAAGTTGGTAAGGAGCAGGGTTTGTAGCAAATCAAGTTGGAAGCATTGAAGGTAAGTCAAAGGTTGTTTCAGGAGGAGGGATCTGAAGTCTTCAGTATGAACATCAACTTCAATGTAAAGGCCGCTTGCTTTGTTGGGTGTGTCCATAGCAGAACTTCATTTCATGTGATACAGGTGAGAGTCGGATGAGACTAGTGGCTAGGGAGGCCACTAGAGGCAAGAAACAGATACTGTATTTAAAGGAACAGAAATAAATGGAAAAAGTCTTGCTATTCAGGATAGGAACCTGACTGTGTGTGTGTCAGTGTATACACCACGTACAAATGCACACCTGAATTCAAAAGCCACCATTCACACACACATACTCCATACAAAAACTTGCTTTCATTCAAACACACAAGCACTGCTCAATGCTAAGTACAACCCTGCAAGGATGGGTATACTGTAGAGGGGGTCCAAAAATTCATGCACCAGGTCCCTCTCTACATTAGTTCCATCACTGCCGCTGTGGGTCCTCGGCAGCTCGTATAGTAAAGAGGGGATCACGCACATGCGATATTCAGCTTCCCAAAGCGCTCTCCAACTCTCACAAGCCACTGGTCGTCAGAGTGTTGCCACAGGTTACCAAGGCAACACTCTGCACGACATGCAGACCAAACTCACGAGAGTTGGAGAAAGGAGCTTGTGGCGAAACCAACCTCGCCACTGTACACTGGAGAAGCCTGGTTGCTCCCCTGCTCCCTTTAGACTATGGCCCTGCATTTCAGACCTGTTATTTTCCCTGCTGAAAGGTTTATTCATGCCTTTCTGCCAGGGTGTTCGGTAGATTCAATCTACCGAACAAACTACCGAACGATGGACCACCTGGGAACTGGAGTGTGCCGTCAATTGACCGCCCAGAAGCTGCGGTTAACCGCAGCTTATTTGATGAACGCTGGGAGGCCTTTGTTCGGTTGCCGAACACGTGACAGCGGCCATTTTACCTCCCGAACGGCCAGCAGTGTTCAGCGCCTAAACTATGGAACTGAAAACGGACACTTAATTGCTCGAACACCGCTGAGCCGCCAGCCTCCTTCCCTTCCCATTCGAGAGCGGAACCGAATGACTGTTCATTCGGTAGTTTAACCGGATGAACAGCATCACCCAGATAGCTAAGCCATGGAGCCTGTTCATGTAACGAAAAGACTATGTGAAGGACTTTGGCTCCATGGCGATTGAACTGTATGAATGTGATCTGAGCGCCATTCGGTAATAATGTGCGCTCAGATCTGAGCTATCTGGGGATATGTAGAACGTATATGTTTTATGTACTGAATGTAACTGTATGTAATTTTATGTCTTTTACTGTTTGTTTTCTGCCATGTGGTTAATGGAGTTTTGCCTCTGTCTTGGGAGATAATTGGATTACTTCCCAATTATCTCCAGGGCAGAGAGGAGGGATTGTAATGCATTGTGGGATGGTTGAAATGTGTAAGTCTGTGATTGGTCCTTTTACCCTTTGTATCCCAGTCTCCCATTTGGTCCCCTATGGGAGTGCCCACCAGGTGGGAGACCTGCATAAAAGCCGGGCAGTTAGCCCCAGTAAAGGAGTTCCTGCTTAACCCTCAAAGTGAAGTGTCGTCTCATTATTGGGGGAGGATTTACTGTATGCTGTTAGAGACTGATTGCCAGGAGGGTAAGCTGCTTGGGGGCTTTTCCTGTTCGTCTGATAGCAGCTATTCGTGTGTCTCCAGTTCGGGAGTTTCGAGTATTCCCTTGGTATGCAGTTCGGGAGTTTCGAGTATTCCCTTGGTTGCAGTTCGGGAGTTGGTGAATTCGTGGGTTTGCAGTTCGGGAGATTGGTGCTTGCAGTAGTCTGTGCAGCTGAAAAAGGGGAATATCGCCTAAACGGTTTTTAACCTCTTGTGGGCAAAACGGTCCGTTACAATTGGTGGCAAGCGACGGGATCATTTCCACAGCCCAGAAGGACAGCTATAATACAACACCAGTTCCTGGATTACAAACTGAGGGCAACGCCAGTACCCGTACAGCGACCCTATCTACAAAAGAACCAACTCCAGCAGCGCAAGCATGGCACCCAGCTACACTCAGGAGCAGTATGACAGAGAATTTACCATGCGGCTGGCTTTCCTTGGACCCAACCCCACGGAGAAATTTGTGCAGTTCGTGAGGAGACAGGTAGAAGAGTATCTGCAGGTTGGAGCAGGGCGGACACGTGAGTTGGCAGGTTGGGAGAGACCCCAGTGGCCGAGCAAGTTACAGAGAGAGAAGCGTGTCGTCCTTCCTCCCCAGCGGCAGTGTGTATTACAGGGAGCTGAAGGTGCCGTCCTTCCTCCCCAGAGGCTGTATGTGCCAGTACAGTCAGTTCCTGCTTAACCCTCAAAGTGAAGTGTCGTCTCATTATTGGGGGAGGATTTATTGTATGCTGTTCCAGTTTGACTGCTAGGAGTGTAAACCTATTCGCATGGTTTTTCCTATTCCATATGCTTCTCCGGTTCGGTGATTGTGGTGTCTGCCAGAGTGCTTGGAGTCCTCAGGAAACACTAGGAGCATCCTTTAACGGAGGTACCCAGTCGGGGTGCCAGGTGATCCGTTACAGAGCTGCTGGAAGCTGAAGATCATGTTGGCTGGGCCCCCTCTTCACTCCACAGCACCTGGCAGCCTGCGCAGTGCCACTGGACCGCCAGGAAGTGTAATGTCCCTCCTCCCTGGCCACATATAAGAGGTATAAAGGGTGGAATAAAAATTAATAAGTTAATGATAAAACAACAAAAATGCAGCCCTTATCCTACCCCACATGTATACTCACACACTCTGCATCCACTACACACATGCACTCCATTCACCACACAACAGATCCACTTTACACATACTGGATCCTCTAAACAGCCACACACAAGGCATCCACAACACAAACAGTGCATTTGCTGCATACACACTCTGCATCCACTCTACACATACACGCTGCATCTCTGTTGGCGGATTCAGTGGTGGGCTCTGTGAGCGGACTTAGGAGTGGGCCCCAGGCAGCCCTGTATAATAATATACTTTTAACACCTTTTTTTTATCTTCTGTATCTTACTTATTGGCAGAACACACACACCTGTATAAATATGCACCACAGGCATCACAGCCACTGCTGCGCGCAACGATAGTCCGCGCATGCGTTCTATACTGAGTGCAGCGCATAGTAACATCCTGCTCGCGCATGCGCATAACAGCAAACCGCCGCGCATGCGCATAGCAACATCCTATTTGCGCAGGCGTACTATGTGTGCCGTGCATGCGCGTAGTAACATCCCGCTCGCGCAAGCGCATAACAGCAAACTGCCGCGCATGCGCATAGCAACATCCTATATGCGCAGGCGTACTATAATGAGTGCCGCGCGTGCGCGTAGTAACATCCTGCTCGCGCATGCGCATAACAGCAAACTGCCTCGCATGCGCATAGCAACATCCTATTTGCGCAGGCGTACTATGTGTGCCGTGCATGCGCGTAGTAACATCCGGCTCGCGCATGCGCATAACGGCACACTGCCGCGCATGCACATAGCAACACCATATTTGCGCAGGCGCAATACTAAACAAACAAACTGAAGTACCCCATCGTTCTAAAAAACC